CTTTATTTATTTATACGGAAATTTGGTCAAAAATTAAGTACCTATTTTTTTTACTTAATTCGAATGAGAATCATGTACCGAGTATGCTCCTTAAATATTGATAGTAATTCACCAGTCACCCTGTATATCTTATAATGTTTCGAGGCCTATATGTGTTTGTTAAAATCATAACGAAAGTACTGAATTGTGAATATTGAACTTATGTCAGAGAAAAAAATGATTTTTTTTATCATTTAGTTTAAAAATATATAATATTTATAACTGTGATATATTGCTCTTATCTATTTAACATCGTTTTAGAGATGTTTGTAACAGGCTGAGTAATAACATACTATTTTGGACGAAATTATCCACATTTATCTATTATATATATGTACATATATATAATAGATAAATGTATCAGATATTAAATTCAGTGGAAGTTATAAATTATAATAGGTTTTACTCTGTATATGATATATTTAAATATAGGATTTCAATTTTAGGATTGCACCAGTGTCGTAGTGGCGAGAATCAACTTTAAAATAATGTAATTTTTCCTACATATATCAATTTTCTTATACATTTATTATTGACTTTAAGTATATACCTGGTATGATTTTAGTTCGAAATTGTTTATATACTTAATATAAATTCTCACAAGGTGCCAGAAGCTTGTTCCTTTGAAATACTAAAGGTGACCAATGATTTGAAAGTCACTTGTATAGCGATGTTAATAACGACCTCATCGTATGAAGGTCAGAGCGTGAAAGGAAAAACCTAAGATCCGCATCGAGGAGCCCTAAGTTTGAGATGAGTAACATACTCTCACCGTCCGGTACTTGGAAGTTGATGATTGATATATAAACATCAAATATTATATCTAGCTCTTTATTGAGTGCAGAAAAACCTCTTTATAAGATGAATCTCTAAATTATATTAACAGTTTTTTAATTAAATCAATGTAGATTAAATATTTTTCTAACTCAGTAAATTAGTACAAGGATAAAGAAAATAAAATCGCATTCATTCGAAACCATTGTATCCTATAGATTTGAAAATTTAAGTTTGTTTTATAACTAGCAAAATTAACTATTGTTTATTCAACCGAATTTGTTTAAATTCAAATAAAAGCCACATTATTATTTTATAAATCTGTTAATTCTAAGAACGTAAACTGTTATTTTTGATTTAAACACAGACTGACATATCTTTAGATAGTGAGATAAGTAACTCATGTTCTCATATCAAGATAGGTTCAACTTGCATAATATATTTCACGATTTTCATAGCAAGTTTTTAAACACACACATAGACACATGTACGAATTGTGTTTGTGTGTGTGCTGGCGCATGTGTGCTACTTTCTTATCAACTCTATAGTATGAATACTATTTGTATACTTACGACTTATGTCCATGGCAAGGGTGTTCGTAACACAGACTCCCATCATTAAACTTGTCATTTAGATAACTTAAACCACAGTCACTTAAATCCAACCCTAAACAGTTATAAATTAGTTTCAAATTTGATTGACACAATTTTTTCACCGGCTCGAAACTTTCCCACGGAACTAATGAAGTTAATGCAATTAATCTTGTTTACAATACAACCAATTAGAAATGAAGCCGCGGAACACTTAATCTCGTTACAAAAGTAACCCAATTTATATTTTATAATGCTTTAATTAATATTAATTTCTATAAATAAAAAAATTATCTAACACATAATTTTTATACGTAAAAGAATCCATAACAATATTTCTATATAGCTACGAACACAACCGCCAGTCAGGAATGTCGAACACAGACTGACGCAAGCAAAAATGTTTCACTTGTTAACATTGAGCTTCCCAAAGTAACGGACATTGTATTCGAAGATTTAATAAAAATATTCAAATAATAATATTATGAAACAATTGAAAATTGATACACTGTATATATTTTGTTAAATTATAAATAATAGAATAAACCACAAGAGATTGTTTCAGTTACCGCTCAAATAGGTTTTACGTAACCGTCTTTCTCATTTTTTTTTGTTCCATCGTCGCCGATCAATGCTTTTTTATCAAGTTGGGGAAAGGAGAAATTCATTGAACAAAAAAAAACAACATCGTGTTGAGAAACACTGGCATAACTTGATTACAATACTTACAAACCGTTTATAGTAACCACGCTTAATTACAGAACAATTTATCCAATTTCGAAAAGCTGACAAAAAATCTGAATGATTCTGAACTGTTATTCACTAAAAATTACATTAAAAAGTATATAAAAAAGAAAATTAGTGTGTCATAGAATAATGTAAGTAACCCATAGTTTAAATGTAGTTCAGAGCGAATGAAGACACAAATTCTCACAGTTATTATATTGTATAATGCAATATTCACCGTTACTATCAAAAGTGAATTAAAAGTTTATAATGCATTAAAATACTGACAGAAAATTACTAAGTCTTCGGCCTTTCAAGGATCACGCAATATCCATAACGAAATTTTGTTTTTGCAAATTCTAGCGAAATAATAGTTAAAAATAACAAGTGTATGTGATTAATACTATATTTGTCGCGACAACTAACTTGTTAGTTTACTGTAAGCTGGAGCTCGATCAATAGATCTCAACAGTGACCTAGACATTTTGGAGCTAGATTATGTAACAGTAGATTCAGGCATTATACATATCTCAGATATCCTCAAGGTCAATATGAATAAATTATTTATATTCAATGGACATATAAAATATCACGATATAGTTTGATTACAACGTGATTAAAGCCATAAGAATTCTTGTTATATCATTTCACCCAAATAAATATTTATTTACTAAAGGTTTTATACATTAAAATAATATTTTTTCGCTATTATTCAACTACATTTATTTCTCAGTATTGCCAGTGTATTAAATGTTGACCCATATTTTCAATGTCAGTTCTGTCGTAAAATTTTCATACAAATTATTTTCTGGAGTAGAAATTATTTTTGCATTCATTACAGAATGGTTTTAGTTTTATTGTCAAACTTGATAAGACCTTTTGTTATGGTAGAAACTTATATAAGATTTTCAGTATTCCACTATACGATGTATAGTGTACCAATTTATATAAGAATTTGGCGGTACTAGTTTCAAATGAACACAGAGAAAATATATAAAGAATATATGTATAAATTAATTAATAAATATGAGATAAAAAAGTAAAATACGCCATTTTGTTTTCGTTCACAATTGCGACATTTGTTATGATTTTTGTTTAAAAAATATGAATGAAATTATTAAATAAAAACTGTTTACAGAATCACATTTCATATTTATCATATTATCTATTCAAAACAAGGCCGTTTGTTGTTTTATACGTGTATACGAATTAAGGTATTGTTCTCGTTGAAAGTAGACCGTGTGTGATGCAACGACAGAGAAAACATACTTACGATGTATGATAAGATGGATCCGAAAATATGAAATCGACGCGAAAACAACGTGCTTTAAATGATCCGTTAAATATTACACAATACAAACGTGTTTATTTTTCGTTTGTTGCAAAAAGGAGAAAATCAGAATCGAGTTCAGACATTTTCTGTAATATAATTTACATACAACATAACTAGAGTTTTCCTTTAAAAAATATCAATAATAATCAATAAAAAGTAGTTATTCCTTTTGAATAAATTCCCGTGTTTTTTCCGGACAGTATACAAAATTTTTATTTTGTCTAACAAAAACAAACGTTGACATTGGCAAAATATTCCACGATTCCAGTACGAAACAAAGCTGTAGAGCATAAAAAAAATTAAATGCATAATAATTTTTCTGTGTCTTATAACTTTTTCAACTGCGAAGAGTTCCAAAACCTATATCACTTAAACTCAAACCTTTAAATAGTTTTGACTTAGCCTGGTGATTTTTTATACAAAGTAAGTCTTGTTGCGTTTTAATTTCTAAGCGACTATAAAAGTAATTGAATATATAAAAGCAATTTTTTATTAAGGTGAAAAGTTTTAAATCAAATTTCAATAAATACATTAAAATTGTATAAAATTAAAAAAACTTTAGGCATTAATTGTCATCTAACTACTAAACTTCCACGAGGAAAGTACTTGATCGAATTAATATAGGACTAAAAACTCCTTACAAAATAAGGAAGGAAAACAACTGATATGCTTACACTTCTGGATTGAGTACAGCATTGATATCGGGCGATCTGTTTGAGATCTAAGATTACACAGACATATACACACACATAAACAAACACACATTCACACACACACACACAAACATTGAGGTCAAACTTACAACACTCCTCTTTTTGATTTAGGGTTTAACCCCCTTTTAAAAAAAGCACTGTTTTAGTAGAGATAAATTATAAGTATTTTATCTGAACAAAATTGGTTACTTTAATAGCAGGTTTTATTTCACTTAGGCTTCACATATTCTAGTTCAAAATAAAAATGTTTATAAAAACTAAATACAAAATTTCAGTTTCGGGTTACAAGTGCCTACAAAAAATAAATAGCAATAAAGTCACTATGCTCTTATTTCAATATTGAAAATTGCACAATGTACATTTTCGTAGAAAAATTGACAAATGTATAAACAAATTATTACAGGATTGATTTATGATATGGAAAGTATAAAAACTAGACGTTTCCGAGGATGTGATAGGAAAAGGTTTAGGAATCTGGAAAGGAAGTATAAATTCATATTAATCGAATATAAAATTACGTCTATTTACCTACCTGTCAGATTTTTATATTAGTTGATGTTAGAAGAATTTGCTAATGATATAATTGCAGGGTCTTTGTTTTTATTTATAAACACCGTTAAAGATTTTAAAGAGAATATTCTAGAAAATCAAATATATTCGTCAGATTATTACATCCATTAACGTATATCATTGGTAAAAATGAAAGATTTAAAAACAGCCGCAATTATTTTACGATATTACTCTTAATTACAGGTTTATAAGGCCGCAGACACACATACAGAAAGACACATACAAAATAATATATACAATATTAAAAAAACTCACATATACTCCTGGATTGCGTCGTAGGTCGCAACTGTTTCCCGAGTTGTATGGAAGCCAGCAGCTGTTCCCTTGGAGTTACTTCACGACGGACCGGAGCCAATTTACGCTCTGATGCCTGAGTATTAAAAATGGATATATCATACACGTATTAGTAGCATATTTTTTTGTCACTGACTTAGCGTTATATTATTAAATATAGGCAAAAATTACTGTTCAATTCAAAAGTGCTTGTAAGCTATCAAAGTATAACTTTCTCGTTTCCAATGGGACAGCATTTATCAGGTAGATTGCAATATTTAAGATGGTTCTCACCTTCTTGAGCGGCGGTCTACTTCTAATAAATTCGAGTATCATTGCGTGTGCGTCCTTCTTAACACTGAAACAATGAAATAAAAATAACATTTATATTTAGCCACTGATTTAATATTCTATATTTTTAAATGCATAGTGCTTTTCTAAAGAGATGAAAAACGTAATTAACTTAGCTGTTAATACAAGAGTTCATCGAGATAAAGACCCTTTAAAAAACAAATAGCAACCTCTGAGATAAATTGCAAAGTATTATTAAGTGGAAGTGAATATTTTAATTTTTATTATTAATAATATTGAAATGTTAATTAAATTGAACTCTTTATATGACGTTTTAATTTCATATACTTTCTTAAATAGCTATTGAACAAGCATTTTTCACATCACTTACTTCTGAGGTATGGCTCCATCAACTTTCCTTAACGTATACCGCCTCGACCTTATATCGTCCATGAGGATTTCATATGGAGTCAATTCATATTCTATCGGCGTCCGTGAGTAGTTAACCTTCTTCAGTTTCACTCCCATTCTCAACTCCCCGATAACTTGCATCCAGAACCGCGCCTGGAATAATTTAATAGCAATTACTTTAAGCTACATATTATCTAACCGTAAGTTGCAAGAACTTCTCAATATATTCGCATACATTTTACATGCATTACGCAAACACATCAATCCACTATTTCTATTGTCACTATAAATATCTGTCTAAGGGACATGTTTATTATAATTACAAATTCATGCTAGCTGCCAAAATATTCCAACGCAGTGTAAAATACTATAAATCAAAGTAGCGTGTTGTCTTAAATACATACTTGCAAGGCCCTCCAAATTCTTCGGTTCGACTAAAATAAAGAAATACAATATCATAATTTGTCCATAAACATTTGTTTCGATAAAACACTACAAACGGTTTCAGTCACTTTACAAAACTAGCAATTTGTAAAAACTAATCAAACTAAAAAAAAGATTCAACCCTGGTATAACCCTATAATTTGTTTTTATTAAAAATACGAACTGACTTAAATTTTGATGTTGTCCAAAGTTCAGTGAAGAATTTTTAAGCTAGTTTAAATATTTTCCTAGACTCAAAATACCATTATTTAGTCATTGTAATAATACCTAGATGATGTTAGATTGACTGCTGCGGTCTGTACGTCATAGAGTCATAAGAGGCGCGTCAGTTACGGCCAACATGACCTAGTAATATTTAGCTACCAGAATCACGATCTTGTCAAAACATATCTACATACTATAGTCAAATTAAATTGACTACCAAGATGTTTGAGGATCAATTATGGTTTACCAACTAATAATAATCAGAATGCTATATAATTTTGGGGACTATTTTCTCTCTAAATATAAAAAAATAACGAATATTATTAATTGCAAAAGTATATGTGATTCGTTGTTAGTGAATGCTTTTAAGTTAGCGAAAATATTTCGGTTATGCCATTCAAAACATAGACACAGGTTATTCACACATATAATTAATTCACAGCTAAATTCCTAGAGAGAATGACGCTATCAATATTAACACGGAGTAGACATGACGAAAACACATACGAAATATTTAACTACTATTTATATATAGAAATTGTATCGTGAAGCAAGTACTGTTTATTTATTGAAGAAGAATATTCCTTGAAAATATATCAGAGTAGCCTGTCAAAGTTAGTATAGTCAAATATATTATTTTTAAGGAATATCATAATTTCCATTAAAAACTACCTCAATATACATATGTACATATATCTCAAATGAATTGTCCACAAAATTAACAGATTAAATCTCGTCGTAAAAGTCAACAAACGAAATTCCGTGAAGAATTTTTGCAAAAAAAAATAATATATATTTTTGATATAGATGCAAAAAAAACTATTAATAAAATAAAGCAAACATATTGTATGTAAAACGTAAAAATGCTATTTTAAATTCAACACTGAATGTTATCACAACTTAAAAATACATTATCAATACGAACGAAAAAAACCCAATGGTCGTTTATACTCTTTGTTTGTGAACCAATATTATCAAATGTTTTAACGAAAAAATATACGTTTATTATTTAAGAGTTCATACTATTTGTATGCTACATATAAAAACCTACCATAGGTACATAGTAAATATATGAAATACTAGAAGACCTGGCGAACTTCGTATCGCCCTATAATCAAGAAACATCTATTACGTTTTTTTATTTATATTTTTGGAGTTTACCTGTAAGCCATAAATCTCCGTGTTTTGAAGTGCGACAGAATGATTGACATATTAGTTAGTTGTCAAATGTAATGTCAAAAAAAAAGTTTGTATGGGAAATAGAAAAGGGCTGTTTTTATGGTTTTCCCAGTAATGAATCAATTTTTTTTAGCTTTTATACCTTTCCTGAACCTCCACGAACATTTCAAGACTAAGATAAGATATATCCGTTCAGCTGTTCTCGAGTTTTAGCGAGACTAAGGAACAGCAATCCATTTTTATATATATAGAAGATATTGCCTTAATTTTGTATTACCGTGGCTATTGTATTAAAATACCTCATAATAACTTTAAACCTTTACCTCTTTAATAGATTTTAAGCTTATATAGTAAATTCCAAACATCGAAATGAAAGAAGCGGTAGAATGTATGTAATTCTAATTAAATCCCCGCAAAATTCTCGTAACGAAATTCAACCAAATCCACCCACCTTATCAACTATGCAGGTATCTATTACTAATACACATTCAACTATTATGTGAGCTGTCGTATTGTCAATTTCGGGAATTAATTAGCACGTACTAAATTCATTTTCGCGTTACACGTTCTGTGTTGTAACCAAAGGCGTATGAATGCAAATGCAACTAGCAAAGACAAGCTTAATATTTCTATTATAATCGTTACATAGTTTATCCTTCCGTTCTCTGAATTGATACTCATATAATTACCTTCACTGTAGATGTCAAAAATCAGAAGAATTATATTAATAACACATGATATAAAACCTTTTTTGTTTGCAATAGACTTAATAAAAAAACGTCTGTCATAAAAAGGTCGTATATAATTTTCAAATTTGGAATATAAATCATAACCCACTAACCCAATCTGAGAACTGTAGTGTGTCTAGATGTGTAGCGGAGTCCTCAGCTGCTCCAAGGTCCCTCGCTCCCGTGACCCGGACCCGGGCCAGGAACGAGGCCAGCTCCAGGGCCTCGGCGACCAGCGCCCGGCAGACGGCGCGGTAGTGACCAGCAGCGGTCTCACGAGCCAGCCGGCCACTACCACCGCCGCAATGCCATATACAACGCTGGAGGAATAACACACTCATCAGATACTACAGATCAGACTTAAAGCTAGATCTAAATACAATTCTATATTCTTTTGAAGGCCTTTAAAAGAATATCTTATTTAAATCACACATATAATCTTTATACATATATAAAAGAAAGTCGTGTTAATTACACTATTTATAACTCAAGATCGGCTGTACAGGTTTTACTGAAAATTTGTGGAAAGATAGAACAAGGAAAAGGACATAGGATACTTTTCATGTCAATTTAAAAAAAAATGTTGTACAAATCTAAGTTGATCAAGTCGCGGGAAAAACATAATCCGTTTAAAATATAGAGTCATTTGTTTTACACTACAAGGTTAAGTTGTGCATATATTGTGACCAGACCATAAAAAATGTCTATCGGAATTAATCATATTTAGATTTCTTTGTATTGTATGTTAATGATAACATTTACAGGCAATTGTAATTAAATTTTCATTTTATAACGGTTGAATAACTCAATACTCTTCTATACAATTACGGAGGATTGTAATGTAGCTTTTTAGATTCATGTTATAATTACTAGCGACAATTATAATACTGAATAATAGTAGTCATGACACAATTTAAAATAGACAGAATGTAATCTTTTTATATAAATATATATGTACATTATTTCAAAGACAGAAATTGAAAACTTTTTCAATAAATCTTAAACAAACGATGTTTCATTTAACTCCTATCAGTACACTTGGGTAAATCCCTAGAATATGGAAAATAAAAATTATTATTATATAAATTGTATAACAGATTTAAAATCTTTAAACTTGATGTTCTGATACAGATTCCCTTTGTATTATTTCCAATCCATATTGATATGAATACATAGAAATGTAAAATATATATGAGATACTATTAGTGAAGACCTGTTCAAGCCAAGGGTACGTTCTACTTTACCACCTAGAAGCACTAAGTCATGCTCTAGGTACCGAGAACTCATTGTCAGATATAAACAAGTGATTCTTATTTCTCAGTAAAGCCTTGTGTTGTTCAAGGCTATCTTTAGAAAATGTCACAGTAATCTACCCGGGAATATGAAATTTATTAAAATGCAGCAGTAGGTATATTTAAAAGCCAAGGATAAGTATTATATTACTATTTTGTAGATATACATTTGTATATATTTTAAAATATGTAAATCAAATTATGTTCTAAGCATTCTTTATAGAATGTAAAGATAAAAAATACTAATTTTGAATTTATTTTGGTATAAAATATAAATAAAATACTACGTATTAGAAAATTACAGTAGAAAATTAATAAGAATTCATTAATTAGTGTCACATTTTTTAAATAATAATTAAAATAACAAGAAAATTAAAAACATTTAAATGACGTAAAAATGATATGTAAGATTTTCGCGAGTACACATTTGTATGGAAGTATGATTTTTTGATACGACCCGTATTTATTGATGAATTGTTCCGTCTCGTCTGTCAGTGACCATGATTGGTATAAAGTAAACGAGATGTGGGCCAATATGTATAACAACATTTTAAATGAATGCCCTAACATCACGCTTTTCATTTAAATGGAAATAAGTACGTAATAACCAGATCAAATGAAATAATAGTAAAATCATAATATTTTTACTGATGGAATTCCTTACTTTTGGGCGTTTTCTCAAGATTTGCTTACTTTTATGCTTTCAAATACACAAAAAATGTTCATTTTTCTTGTTCAATCTTGATTTTGCATGACTAAGTAAGGTTTGTAAGTGACAGGAACAAATTTCATTAATAGTATTATATATATATGTATGTATATATACACAAGCGTTTAGTATGTTTGTGGTTCCAACAATCTGATCGATTTGTTAAATCAGTCCCAACCCGGCGACGCTCATCTTGCAATATAAATTAAAGTGCTGAAAGTGTATTCAAAATTTATCTACTTGACACTTTATGACTTGAGATAATATTTTAAAGCAGTGTAAGATTTATTATTATCATCGACAAAGCAGTGAAAATTAAAATTAACTCCTTTCTATCCCTGAAATATTAAGAAACTAAAAATGCAATATCATTTTGTAAGTAATTACTATAAAGTTACTGTTTTTTTTAACAAAATCTTCCCAACTCGATTTTTTATTTATTTTTATTATAAAAATATAAAACGAACATAAAAAAATATAACAACTGAACTGTAGCGAAAATAAATTCAAATCCTTCAATTTTTCACACGTTAGCCACGCCATCTACAGGGGAAACAGAGCAATAAACACCATGAGATAACAAATTATACGCATCACCGCTATCGAATTAACAACCCATAAATGGATCTGTTATAAACGTGTACAAATAATATGCTGTTAAATAATCTGATAACAGGTCAAAGGTTGAGAATAAAGAAGATATACGTAAAAGAAATCCTCATTATGTTTAATAAGTTAATTTTAAATCGAACTTAATACATCAACATTTATAATACTTTATTTTTAATACGTAATGTATATTTCGAAACATGATTGATCACTTACAAGCATAAACTATAAACTAGATCACACAAACTACATTCGATTATTGCATGTGGTTTCAAAATACATATATATGACATTTAAACAATTAATAATTATAAATTACTTAAGTTTTATCATTAGTAAGACTTGTATATTAATAAATTCCCACCATACAACGTTTTAAATTCACTTTCACCGTTCCAATGTGAGATATTTCACTAAGAGCTATGTAAATAGTAACATTATCGGGCATCGTAAAATTATAATCACTTAACGAGGAAATCCGTTGATAGAATTTAAAATAAATGACACCCCATGATTTGACACAGTGAAAGTAAACTAAAGATTATCGTTTAAGCCAAGTCAATAAATTGGACAAGAGAAATTAAAATTTTATAAACGTTTTCATAAAAAATATTTTATTAATTAGATCAATATTTGAACAATGAACATAATTATGATACATTTCTATATAATTTCCGATAAAAGTTATATAACCATAAGAGCTATTAGAATTGTGATATCTTTTAATTATCCTCAAGTCAATCTGACGGACCTCAATAGTTCTCAAATTGTTTACAAATATAAAAATTGTCACGAAAAAATTTTTAATGCAAAACTTGAATAGGATGTAGTTACTTAAGTTCTTACCAAAATTACGTGTCTTTGAGTGACAAAGGCACATATGTATACTGTCTCTATTATTACATATTTTGTTCTCTATCTAAAATTGATAATGAAATGAGAGAATTTACTGCTCAATATACATATATAATGAAGAAATAGATTGAGATAACTAAAATGTTAATGTACATATCTCCGTTAAATGTTTCTTTTTAAAATCATTTTAGGTACAGAATCGTGCTTGATTTAAAAGTGAAAGCTTGATATTATTCTAAATAGCTATCAAATACTATCATCGAATTTACGCAATAAATCCTTTTTGTTTGAAACAAAATAAATAATAACTTTATTTTCGAACGTCTTGAAAACAGTACACGGATTATCAAATATATTTAAGAACATAGATTATATATCGACTTTATCAGTTTCTTCCTCGCCGTATAGAACACTTTAAAATTCATAATTTGTATGAAAATCTTCTGGGACTGTGCATGTCGTGTCTTATTTTCGTAAATATACAGTTTAATATGAGATAAAGTACCTCTATAACGTCTTTGAGCAGGAACCTCCGGACGCGTCGTCTCCTCGGCGCCGGCTCCGAGTCCCTTTCGATGCCCTCATCATCAGTATCAGCTCGCCCTCCCTCCGACGTCTCCGAACCCTCGGACAGACCGCTGATCTCTTCCTCGTCATCTGTAATAATATACATATTTATCTTCCCTTAAAATGTTTTTAGTTTACAATACGAACAACTATATGAGAGACTATGAGAACTATAATAATATTTTATCTGCGTATGCTATCTGTCGCTTTGTATAACTCAGTATTATTTTTCCATACTGGTACTTTTACATTTGTTTATTTTTGTAGTTTTGTGTGACATTCAAAATAATTAATTATTCATAGTAACAGCGAATATTAACCAGTACGTATTCTTTGTTTATTATTTCGTAAGATAAATTATAATTTTGTCATGGGTGCTTTCAAAATATTATCCATTAATATTTTAGAAAAAATAAGATTATCTATATCGTATAATTTAATTAAATTCAAGAGAGTTATTTTGAAATAACATACATACAATTATTTTTATTAAACAGACCAATTAATTATTACAATTAAAAACTCTGATCATAAAGCACTCTTCTATAGTTTCAAAAAACATATACAAAATAGTATATTACGAAGCACAAATGCCATACTCAAAAACCTTCCTATACGTTTAAAGCAGAGCTACTCGTAGGTAAAATACAAGAACTTAATAGGCCTCCGTTAAGCTCCCGTGTATGATTAAAGCTGACGTTTAACAAGACAAAGGCTTCGTTGAACTGTCGGCGATAGTAACAGACAACAATACAAATTCTAATCCTGATGACCTTGTTGGCCACGTGTGGTCTGATTACGTGTCGCAAGACTCTTCAATCACTACTTCCAGAGACCGAATCATACGTCACGATCTTCATTATGAATCAACAGAATTAAACTGTTAAATACATTTAAACTAGAATTACTATACTGATACTATTTTAAACATCATTGCCATCATTCACATTGCCATCTGAAGCCATGTTTTATTGCAAAAGTTTAAAAGCGGTGCCTTTGTTCTCTGGTAACTGTCAACTCGTCAACATCACGGTTGTTTAAGATTAAATCATTTCAATTTTAAATTGAGCAATTTTACTGAACAAAAATATTATATCCACATTATTTATGGTATCTTCCAGAATATACAATCTGGATAAAAATTTAAAATATAAAATTAAACTATTTTATCCATTACATGGTATTTATAGGAGATAGAAAAATTTTGATTGGATCGCAAAATTTTCGATAACACCGTTACTATGATAATGTCGGATCTAATTCATTGTTTACCATTAAAATTCATAAAAGGCTCAAGTTCGACGCTTGAAAATCCGTTGATGAAACGTAAACAGAATTGTAGAAGTATCAGCTGTATATTTGAAACAAATTGTTATATTATTCAACAATAATGTCCGCGTATAAAGACATCAGAACAACAAAGGATCCTATCTAGGCTTTATGTCGCAACAGACGCAAATCTCGACAAAACTGTTACCAGGGACCGGCGCAAACATTAGTATGTATCACGATGTGGCTACCATTATTTAAACTTAGGTTACAGCAATGTCCAATAATCACTGGCTTAACTTGAACAGCTTCGTGATATTATATCTCATCCGCAAACTTTAAGATTAAATAAGATTAATATTAATTAATATCCGCAATTAGCATGACCAATAAAAAATATATATACTTTCATCTTCTTTCAAAATTAACTTTCTTACATTTCTTCTCACATGAACACACAAAATATATGTTCACAGACATTTCTTTTAATTAGTTAAGTTTAGTGACATTTTAAACCAATTAACTGGTACGTTTATTGGACAACACTTCAGCTAAACATCTAATGACTAATTCATCCGAAATCTCTTTGTCTGATATTCTGCGTGAACTCAACGATCTAGTTTGATGATTATCACAAAGCTGATTTACAAAAGTAAATAGCTTACTATTATTACCAGCAAATTATTGGTGGAATTGAAATTACAGAACAAATAACCTATTCCTATATAAGGGTTCAATAAGATTTTGACTTAAATTAAAGTGAACTAGTAATAATATTAGTGCAAAAAAAACTTTACAGACCGGGTGTCGATACGAGTGTGTTGTATGACACCATAATTTGTTCGACGCGTCTAATGAAGCTATGCCGTTAGTGGTGTATGGGAACAAGTGCTGTAACAACCAACGGTGTTAGCGACGATTTATTCTCTCCCACGACTGATACTGCCGTCTCATAAATAACTTTTACATCGACTGTTTTGCTTCACATAATTCGTTAACCGTTCATTACTGTACTTGTATAGTAAAATTAATTACAAGTTAAAGAAAATCTTCTACCTATACTCTAAGAAACGGCTGTAAAAAATGTTCTAATACAATGACAGTTGATTGATATTTATGTGGTATATTATGCATTCTATTTATCAATTGGACTAAACAAAGAAGCTGTGATCGGTCCATCGAGTCGGTACATGCTATTAATAATAATTTATATGATTGTGAGGCACAAAGCTTATATGGCCCTTGGAGGCGCCACTTTCTCCCTAACCTCACGACCTTACAAGAGACCGATATAAAATATCATAACATTGTAATGTTAAAGGTTGTTTACTTTCGAACACGAGAGAAATCTAATGCAATTTTCTACAACCATCCAACTCGCGAAATTAAGGATTTGAACTAATTCGATCATACAAAACTGGCAATAACACTTTTTAAAAATACATATTACATGTAAGAGATTCAAGGTTTCTAGAAAAGCGAGTTGTGAAGGACAAGTAGCTGGTTGAGAGACGCAGCAAGTTCACCCTGAATGCAGTAAATCCTGTAAGTGGGTTACAGACGGAATCGAAACCATAGGACGGCCCGCAGTCAGCTCCATGTCACTATCAAGAGAAATTTATGTACAACGTTTGCGAAAATATGAGCCAGGCCTACAAGCTTCGACTTAAAGCTAATTCGACGTGAGTTATCATCGTTTATACAAAGCTTTATGGTTAAGCTGAGGTCATATTGATTGAAAAATAATTTTATTTATGTGACAGGAAAAATTCGGCGATTCATGACCACGTATTGATTTCATCATGTAATGATTTATTTACTAGTAAATATAAATTTAAAAGTATCTTTGGTATTAAAATATTAAAAGTATTTTAATTATTTAAGAATGTCTATAAATTGTAGAAAATAAATAAATAGACGATATCCATTACAAAGTATTCCTATATTATAGTCTTGTATGTCTTAATCGTCCAACTCATTACTCTATACCACATTTCCGTATTCTCCAAGGAATTATGGACATCATGCCTGCACTTAATTGTTAATCCATTAAATACTAATGAACATCGATGTCCTCGGAGGACTTATGTAATTTCTAAAGTAAAAGTAAATTAAGTCCCAATAGCATTAAGCCATACAAGTGCAATCATATTTCTAGATTGCAGAGAAAGTACTTGCAACAATAAATTATTTAGATCTGAGTGTTCTAATTAGATTCATTCATTACGTATTATATTCTAGATATAAAATAGCATTTATAGAAACGTTTCTGATATCGTTTGCATCTTTAATTGGATGCGCAGGCGCAAGTCAGACGCACAAAATTAATGTCTCTTACGAATATCATGACAGTAGCAATGTTCGCAGCTAAAAACAATAACACCTACGGCAACAGTGACACATTCTCAGGAGTCGTGATGAAACACGAGGTATAGTCAGGACACTATTAAAATAACGTTGGGTAATCAAATTAAACGTATGACAACATTGGCAATAAAATGAAATATTGTGTTCTATAATACAATAGATATGAACTCTAACCCCGTCTGTGGAGTAATAACGTGAATAGTTAAGAAATAAAAATAGGATTTAAATATTTAAACCTTAATAATATTGGTTACATGAAAACAAGGAAAAATCTGTATTATGGTATCAAACAGAAAACATAGATAAAGCATATAAACACTCACTAAGAAAACTTTCACATGTCAATTTATTTGAATGATTTATGTTGAACCATTCCTAATGAAACTGCTAGTTACATTTTCCTAAACGACGTAAAACTATTTGCACAAAATCAAGTACTCCGTGAGTTAGCGTAAACGGAACTTAACGGACCGTGCAAAATGTACCGCGAAATCACTGAAACATCAACTCGTTAAGATTTACATGCAAACATAGCCAGCGATATAACAGTTGAGACGGACTTTGAAATAACGTAACTGATATAAGATAACAGAGGTACGAGTAACAAATTACATTCTTTAGTTTTGGTTTTCACAATAACTTCAAAATTTTCTTAAGTCACTGGTCGTCCAAATAGTTAGAGCATAAACTCCTTTACATTTTGATTACAATAGAACTAGGTCATTGTTACAACTCCCATAATTTAACTGTAAAAAATGCGCCGGTACTTATGTAATTAAACATATTATATTTGCTTCATATTCAAACTATTTTGTATAATGTTAAATGGTAGACCGTCCAAGCATCGTGAGAGAATATTTTTGATGTTAGGATTCGCATATAAAAGAATCGAACTAACTTTCTTTTCTTCTTTCTTGTAAAGATGACCTTGCAGGTTACTGGGCGACGGTACTTCTTATAACCATCTCAAAATCTGATGCTTATCTCAGACATATAAGAAAATGCTTCATGTTTTTTATTAATAAAGATATATTTAAAATTACAAACATCAGCATTTCAAAATAAGAGATACAGCGATAAACGTTGGGTGAGTATATAAAGTCTACATCCTGTTTAGAGCATAAAGACAGACAAGCGACAATCATACGCCCAGATCAATTGTATAATATGTGACCACCTGTCCACGACCGAGTGACCTGCATTCGCATATTATGTACAATCACATTACGTTTTGATAGCCGGTGCCAATGAATTCAATAGACAGAAAATTAACATTAACTGATGCTATTGGAGATATAAAATTATATAGAGAGGAAATTGGTCATTCGTTTTATTCTTAATATACCATTTTACGCTTCAATGATATTGTAAGAATAATAATTTCTAATAAAGTACTATTTACGGTTTATAGTAATTGCTGATGCTCGTATTGTATTTACGAGTGCCACGGGTCAGACTAAGGTCAAAGGAAGTAATAAGTTTCATTCCAAAACATCGGGAAAACACACAATTTACCTAATTGTGAATTTTTATCGATATCTTAACTTTTAAATAAAGGCAAGAATGTTGTACTGGTAAAGATTCTTAAGACTAGAACTCTTAATATTCATTTGCATCATCTTCAAATCTATTACCAAAAGAATTTAATCAATATAATGTATAGAATTAAGACGTCAACTTTAAACTGGTTCTTAAACATAAGCTTATTTATTACCGATTTGAAATTGACTTTACATAACACGGATTATAAAATTGCATTATTATCGTCAAAAATTATAAATTGCTAAATAATTTTGCAAAAGATAAAAGGAAATCCTTGTAACATGACAGATTTGTGTAACCTGTTGACAATAATTGTAATTCGTACTGAAACAGTGTGATAGTGAAAAGCAGAAAATGTGACAAGTCAATTTAGATTGAACGGATTCGTGAGAGTTGGAAAGGGTGGTGAAATGCAGGCGGAACGGATTGCGACCATTCATTGTTAGCAAACGTAAGGGGAAGGGGCATGGATCACTGCGGGGCAAAGGTCGCTGATAAAAGACAACACCTTGAGTGTCCTATACATGACGTGGAAAACATCGCGGAATATTGTTAGAGAAAGCTATCAGTGTTTGCAGAAATGATATATTTGAAACAGTTTAAACCAAAATCTTTACGTTTGTAGCAATTTTAATTTAAACTTATCATCTCCAATAAAGATTTAAAACACAAAAGAACCAAAATTAACGCTGCACAACGATAAAATAGTCGAAAATCATACAGTTGAAGCTGTTAGTGTATCTAAATCATGTATTTTTCTCGCAATTGTATTATCAGCAATGGTATAAGGTCTACTTACCGTTCCATCATCCGCTATCTGCATTATAACATAACATTACGTTTCTCATCCAATTATTGTTACTAGCCATCCCTCGCTTCGTAGAAGTATACTAGATATCATTTCTCATACTTGTTACATGAGTATGTTTGAGACTAGATTAGATAACTAATACGAATTGTTCATTATAATAATAAAGCACGTTACATTATTTATTAAATAAATTAATATATTTTATGAACAAATAATGATTTTTTACGTTCTTGTGAAATTAACACTTATATCATAACTATGATTTCTTTGGTTCATAGTTTCAAGATTCACACTTCATTTTATTACTCCAGTGTTGAAAGTGAATAAAAGATGAATCTATGGGTAATATTTCAATAAAATATGATAATATGAAATTCGTTTCCTAATATCTTACGCTGTACCGTGAACAGCGAGCTGATTCACATCGTCCGTCTAACGGGATAAGATAAAGGTTACGCTTACACAAAACTCGTTTGCACGCACGTCCGCTCATCAAAATCACAGCACGATATAAAATTCGATATTACAATAGCATTAATGTCAACAAAACTATAATTTCATGGGTCAATGGAAAAGCGAAATAAACTATCTCAATTTTCATTCAAAATCCTCCCACATGAAAGGAGTTAATCGAAAAAAATTGCAGTAGATAAAGCAAGATAGAAATCAGTTGAAAATTTAACAAGCCACGCCGATCAAGTGCTCATCCCCTCTTCCGCACTAGAGCCTTAGAACATCAAAAGCATCAATTGAAATTTTAAACTCACTTCATTTCAATAGCAGTACATCATAATTGTCAAACTTTTCTATTCTAAAGCGTGACATTGAAAGGTTAAAAAAGGGGAAAGTTTTCTCTGTGCTTTGAAATATCGATAATGTTTTGTAATGCCTTTTCACTCGTGCTAATCCGATAAAGTGAACTCAAAAGCTTTGAATTAAAAAAAGATATTTAAAAAAAAACGCTTATGCCAAAGAAAAATAAAAGTAAATAAAGAAAGGTGAAAGAAACTTTTAATTTTACCGACATATACGATTTATCCTATTATAATACCTTTTAAGTCGTTTTTTAATTGTTATTTTTGGTAAAATAACTAAATATATAATATTATTCTACAAAATTTTGCAATAACGCAGTTAATCCTATCCAATCGGCCTTCCATTTGTTCAGAACAATACAATGATTTTAATTAAGATTTAGTTAGTTTAATTTAGTTAAAGAAGACGTCCGTTTAGTTATGAAAAAAGAAGTCTGTAATTTTATTACTCTTGTCATATTTTCAAGAGCACATGCAATAAGAATTAGTAATTTTCAGTAATATGACCGATGTGATGATATCTTTAATGTTCCTCAAGAAGAATTTTTATAGCATTTACTATTCTCCATCTTCATTAACCTGACTAGATTATTAATTAATTTCCACTTAAATTCAATTATATACTAGCTACATTAATACTTTTATTGATCATGAACTGAAATATTACTCAATTCATTATAATAATAGTCATATCATCATAAAACGTAATCGTCATTAACTAACAAAAATAAATGATTATCTTCCTTCTACTCTACAACAATGTTTCAATATAATTAAACAGCACCTTAATTACTTTAGTTAGCCTGAAAGTGTATCATTAAAGTGTCAGACGTTTTGTTCTACTTTACATTCCTTAATGCTCCTTTAAAACTGTCTCCCATTAGCTCGCAACTACAAATTTTAATAAAGTTTCGCTTCTCTAGTGAATAACAATTAAAACTAAGATTTACTCTACAAACTTCAGTCCACTAAATGTGTTTACGGCGTTTTATAAAGTTTGTAGGGATAGAAGGATGTTTGGAAGTTCTGATGAAACTTCCTAAATCCCAATGATGTAGCTTAGGCGTCAGAGTTACATATGCATACATAATGTTTTTCTAATTCATGTGGTTTTGAATGAACAAAAACAGAAACTACGAGAAAAATATTTTTGTATGAAATCAATTGTGACCATAGATCGTGCTGCCCGTTGTTAGGCACATCCGAAACACAAGAAAAAACTACTTACCTATATACAGGGTGACTGGTGAATTAATATCGATATTTGAGGACGTGATATTTGACGATCATATATGACAAAATAAAAATTAATATAACATAAATATTAATAAACTTCTAAGTAAAGTTAACCAAAAGTTATGTAATTAATTACGCATCGCATGAACACCCTACAGATTAGGTATACACTGACACTCACACATACGCGTGTCGTGACGTGTTGTTGTATCAGCACGCCGCCGCACGCGTCCACACTTGAACACTTGGAACGTGTCAACACTTTACTTATTTATAAGATTCAGACGGTATCTAAAATATTCAGGAGCATTTATCCTTTTTATTGATAAATCACCTGTTTTTATAACTGTAACTTTAGAACAAATTATTTCCACCGGTGGACACAAGGACGCGATATTACAATTTCCAACTATGTATATACAAGAAGAGTCAAAAAGCCGACTTCAGTTTCAATCACATATATGTATGTGTGTATCTTATATAATGGTCAATACTTTGTATTTAATGAATTCAATTATATACTTCTTTTTCAAGAATTAGATATAGAACATATGTACATATATATAGAAAATCTTCATAGTTTCAAAGCCTCAACAATCATTTACCTGTAATGTTACCCGTCATATCTGTGATGAGGCCCTCCAGGTCTGGAGAGATGAGCCGCTCCTCATCTTCGCCGTGCGTGTAGTCCAAGGCATGATACACCACGATCGCTAGGTTCACCACCAACTGAAACAAACACACACAAAATATATTAAGATTTATGTATCAACATTTTTTGTCACCACACTCATCACTCGAAAAGAAATACCTCCTTTTCATTGATTAGTCAGTAGATAGCCAACTTATATGAATAGTTGAACCTACTCCGCTCTTAATTACAAGCATAAAGTACTGTTACTTTAGGTTTCTATTTTCTATTGTATCCTGTAGTAGTATTGACACGTATATTTGAATATTTTTTGTCAAGTCACAGAATTTTTACAGTTTGCTTTATTATTTTTTTATATTCGAACCTTCTAATATTTAGTAGTTCTTACTAAATCCCTCCTCGGTCAACCAGCATGACTATCATGAGCGTTGAATGGAACGACTGATGCCATCCATTGCCAAACTAATCTGCATAGTCCAATGTTACACAAAACAGCTCTTCAAAATTAGTAAACAGCTATTAAATCGCTTATTATTGCTTTATTTCAGGCGCTGGGTGTGTAATATAAGAATTAAAAAATTTCTAAATGCTCTTGAAGCGTGGTCTTTCACTCTTCATTTAACATATGTGTGGAAATAAAAATTAATGAGAGGATGTAAATCATGCAACATATTACAAAATCGAATGGATTTTGACATATTCGGACGAATATACATACATAGTAATATGTTTCCTAAAATATATACAAATTATTTGTGCTCAATACTTGTCAAATTAAATACTCCTTATATATGGATCCGTTCCGCGAATGCAATACAAGAATCCGGTGTTAAAATGTTCGTATGAGGATTTCTCTGTATATATCAGCTAACGCGGCGATCTTGGTCAGGAATGCCGCGTCAGTAACAATAACAGGCATAGCCGTATCATTAACAAACCTGCAAACAGTCAAACACGCTTATCGAACTCATTGTATGTTAATAGCTTGCAATACGTACAATATGATGTTGCATTGTGTTGCGCAAAATCACGCAACCGAGACAGAATGTAACAGCATCCGATCTACCGTAAGATGAACAATAGTTGCGTGCGTATCATATATTAAACTGTTAAGGTCTTTTTTTTTGGAAGGTTAATGATTCTTTTCGATTACATTTTTCTTAACATTTCCTCTGATCTCTCGATCTCATGCTATAATATTCAAACATTATATGTTAAAATTATTAATATAATTTACAACATCATTTACTGCGCAATAAAACCTAATAGATAATACTCTTAGAGATAAAATATGTACGTTACAAAGTAGCGAGCCGCCTCACAAATAAACTACCAGGGGATGATATTCATGACACTAATGATAACAAAAACTATCTGCTTACTGCTGCAGATGATTTTCTTGAAACTGTTATATAATCAATAAGCGTTATGTTATAGTGTATTATAACTATATAAATAAATTTATATACATTATAGAGAACCGAGTTTATGCAAATACTAATGTCCTGTACAAGTTACATAAGTAAAGTTAATCTCACAGTTATACAGAGACATCGATAAATATTTATAACAGATAAATATTGAATAAAAGTGAAAATACTTGATAAATCAATATTGTATTTGTTATTTCGATTTACAATAATGATGAATACGTATTCAAAAACATACAAATATTTTGTGAAACATATTTTAATATACAATATTAATATAGGTATAAATTTAATCTTTAATATTTTCTTACAAAACAACTGATATGTTAGTATATAATAAATATCATAAATTCCAATAACGATTAGCCACTATTCCAAAACTTGTCACGAACCCATTACATGAACTTTGATCTCTTTCATAAGACACTCAAGTTAGCAAACTAGCGATTTTTTATATTAAAAAATTGTAAAATAAATTAGTATTAGCAACACTCAAAGTCCATAGAAATCATATTAATATACTATTTTATTACATATTTTGACAGAAGTAAAAGTTGAAACGCAATATATATCAGAAGCTTATCTATAGTATATATCAACATAGAAAAGTGTTTAATGGGTCACTGGACTTAAATTCAATTGTGCTATGATGACCTACGATAACCCTCTCTCTAGTTAACCACGGGTCACTGTAGTACATGAATCTCGTATTCTGAAAAGCCCTTTAAGGCCAAAGGAGAAAGTAGGGAATAACAATATATATTGAATTCAAACAAAACAAAATATTAATGAATACATAAAACCTATGTCATCTTATTTGGTAGATCGAAACTTTGCTGATTATGACGAATCAAGATCATTGACATTGAAATATTACGTGACCGGAAAAAAAATTAACAAAAACCTTGGAGGTGAGAAAACTCGATTGAAAAAGCTTTTAATGCAACGCTCTGTGATTCTAAGATACAATTGTAAACAGAAAGTTATGATGTAATAAATCTTTATCTTTGATAGAAAAATAAACATATGTATATTGCTTTGTTACACAAGATAACTGTTATAGTACTATATAATATTTAATAATTACTGTACTACGTTTCCGTGCGCCGGCAATTTATTCATTTATATTTGAATTATAAAACATAATAGTGTTTCGTAGATTTAAATTAACGATATACGAAATTCATAAAAGTGTTTCAATTGATTCACCGCCTGGCTAATTGACGGCAATGGAAGGAGTAGTTGAGATTATAACGTTTTATCTTAAATATTTGATAGTTCACTTACTTTAAGTACATGTATATCGTAAAAATTCAATAAAAAGGGACAATACGTTGTTAAAACTGAACAATAAATCATAAATTTATTACACGTACAATTTTAATAGTATTTTATATTAAGCAATAATCGTAGTTTATATCTTTACAATCGCTGTTGATCAGGTTGTAATTGAAATGTTTTAAATATTTCTGTGAGGGTACACGACGCAAAACATGCAGCCAGCATAAAAACAGTATGTTCATATTATGTATAAATGAATATATTTATATAAAAAATTGATAATTCCCTTATCTTATTGATTAAACAAATATTGCTGAGATAGCAATAAAATCCTAATTCAGCAAGACATTCGTTATCACAACATCCTGTAGTTGAAAACAATTCACACGCGTTTTGATTTAAGTTTATTGCATTTGGTGAACTTATTCAATCACATGTGGTTTAACGAGACGAATGAGAAACATTTACGACATGACAAACAGTAATACGATTTATGGTTATAGTTATGACAGAAGCGGAACGAAATTGTTTTGTCATTACTGTCGATCAAGACTATGCATTTATTATGAAAATCATCGCTACTTAAATTTCAGAAGCTTTCAATTTATACGTATATATATAAAATCAAAAATTTGAAATATGCTTCGTATTAATTTTTGTTCAAAAAAAATTCAATTGTTTTATTCAAATTAAATCAATATATATCACACTACGTGCTACCTCAGATTGTAAGTCCATTTTAATGATATAATACAAACATAAGTGAGCGTGTTCTTGAAGGCAGTTATAAATTTAGTATTATTAACACTGTTGTAAATGGGTGCTCATTCGTGTACACGCTAGTTTCTCTTAGATTAATTAACAATTTTCCTGTAAAGATTTATACATATAAATAAAGCACTTTTAATATGTTCCTATTATAAACAGTGAAATAAACGACATTATAAAATGTTGTTCCTTAGTTGAATTTCTTTTCAAACATCGCGTTCATAGTATATTTCACTACTCTGCTCTAATTTTGCTTGATTGATTACCTCCGGATATAAAATCTTATATTTCATCCAAGGTTTTATTTTGATGACATCCCTTACAAGGAAATTAATCATGATCGTATTTATTAAAATGTTCTGAACAAAAAAAATATCAATTTTCCTTTAAATATATAGTTTTGAACTTTCTTTATTAAACGTCAGTTTCAATATTTCAAATAAACCAATCTCTACAGATTTTTTTATAATGGCGTCATAATAAAGATATTAATAATAGTGTTTCAATACACACGAAATATGAACCAGACGAAGTGTTATGATACCGTTACCAAATCCATGCCACCAAGGAAACACAATCAATAATAAAGTGGCTCTCTGATTCGTATGTTCGCTATAAATCTCAATATGTGTCCTTCCTATACAGCTATCTGGAGTTTAACAAGCCATTCATTCGGTTGCGTAACACTAGCGCCATCTATCGAATAGAAAGCTTGTATAAATAAACTAGGATCGTTTGGCGCCGGTCTCAGAGACTCGGGGCTTCCTTATGCAAATTAACAGCTAATCAAATGTCTGATTGAATTGTATATATTACTACAAAATGTATAAATTTGATTAAAAAATAATATAGACGACGACAAAACGAAAATAAACAGTCTCAATTTTTTTTTGACATGTATAACAAAGCAAAACTAATCTATATTCATGAGATTCATATGTCGTAATAACATTCTGCTTTCTTGGAAACATAAATCTCAAATCATTTCCCTATCACGTCCCAGTAACCAAAGATATAATGGTATAATGCGTCGCGGAGTGTGCTAACAGGTACTTTACCTTCAGTTACAATACCTAACAGCAGGTAAATTATCATATTTACACTATAAAATCCAGTGCCGGGTGGTTGCATAAGGAATTATGCTGCTCGGAAATAGGCTTCAGTCTGACCAATTAATCATAATGATACCAGTGACATTACTGTTGCTGCGTTGTGTAACTAAAACTATTAGCAGTAAAATTTTATTTGAATTTTTAACATCTCTAATTCGATTTGACCTTATTTAAATACTATTACATTTCGCTCAAACATTACATTAAATAATGATTTCGGCTTTATAGTTTTACTTTTTTAAGTGAACAACCGGGAAGAAGAATTGAGTTGGATTTAGATTTCTTCTATACCAATAGAGCAAGAGCAAATACTGGAGTCTTAGGCTATATCTTAGAGCCTATCAACTATATATATATGTACTAATAAAATTTGACGTACTTTTATATAGTTTAATATTAAAGACACGTTATATATGACCAGTTTCCAAAGCTGCAGTGTGTATATGTCTGTTACTTAATTCCGTAAAATCATAAACAAAGACCGGA